GATGATCCATCACAGCACAACTGCCAAATGTCCCCAACATAAATTCTCCAGTTCGGCTTAGGTTGAATTTGATAAGATTTGAAGTCAGCAAGTCCCCCAGTGAATTCGGCCACAAAGTCGGCAAGCATTTGCCCCTTGATTGAGGTTCTAGGAAGAAACTAAATATTGTACTGGCCGAGTTCAAGAGCCCACTTTGAAACATGCCCTGATGCTTCTGTACTACGGAGTACTGACCGGAGGGGGTAGTCCGTTAGTATCCCGATGGTATGCCCCTGAAAGTAATGCATCAGTTTTCTTGCTGCCATGACGAGGGCTAGGATGAGTTTTTCCAACGGAAGGTAACGTGTTTCAGCGTCAACCATTGCCTTGCTCACAAAATAGACTGGTCGCTGCTCCCCAAGCTCTTCCTTTAACAGTACGACACTGACGGCCCAGTCGGAAACTACCAGATATAAAATAAGAAGGTCACTTGCCGAAGGTGTTGTCAATAGTGGAACTGATTGAAGGTAAGTCTTTAAACCGTCGAAAGCGGCTTCGTACTCAGAGGTCCATTCAAATGCTATACCCTGCCGTAGAGTATAAAAGAATTGTCGGCAGTGATCTGTGGAACGACTGATGAACCTGTTGAGTGCGGCGGCCATCCCCATCAACTTTTGAACCTCTTTGACCAATCGAGGGGAGCCGAGTTCAAGGATTGCCATGATTTGCCTCGGGTTGGTTTCGATTCCTTGGTGGTTGACAATGTAGCCAAGGAATTTGTCGGATCCGATCTCAAATGCACATTTGGAAGCGTTCAGCTTCATTTTGTACTTGAGTAAAATGTCGAATGTCTCTTCCAGATCGGCTAGATGAGTTTGCTCTTCTTTGGACTTGACCACTATATCGTCAATATATACTTCCATAGTACGGCTGAGTTGCTCCCTGAACATGGTTATGACTAGTCTTTGGTAAGTTGCCCCTACATTCTTCAGCCCAAAAGGCATAACCTTATAGTAATAGGTTCTTCTTGGGGTGAGAAATGCAGTTTTGTCTTGGTCCTCTAGATGCATGGCAATTTGATGGTAGCCTCTGTAGGTATCGAGGAAGCTTATACATTGATGACGTGCCGTGGCGTCTACGAGTTGGTCTATTCTGGGGAGGAGGAAAGCAATCATTAGGGCAAGCTTTGTTTAAGTTCGTGAAATCCATGCAGACACGCCAAGTCCTATTTTTTTTCATTATAACTACAGTATTCGACAGCCATATAAGATAGGCCACTTCCCGGATTGCTCCGGCATCAAGCAACAGGTCAACTTCTTCAACAACGGCGGTAGTGTGTTCTGCGACTGACCGCCGGCTTTTTTGAATAATTGGCTTACATTTGGGGTCAACATTTAAATGGTGCTGAGAAACAGATGGATCTACCCCCGACATCTCATATGGTGACCATGCAAATACATCATCAAGGTTGCCGAGTAAAAAAGTGATTAGCTACTGCCTGTCGCCTTGATTCAGGGAGGCACCGACCATGAAGAAGCTGTCAGGACTCCCATCAATTTCAACTCGTTCTAGGGCTTCCGTGGCCTTTTCACTTGGGAGCCTTCCAACTTCATCGAGGCTCTCTCGATCCGGCACCTCAATAGAATTTACTTCCAATTCTCTTGGTGTCTTGGCGGTAAGGAAATAACATGCTTGTGTCGATTTCTGGGAACCACGGATTTGTTCAATGTTGCGTTCAGTCGGGAAGCGGAGCAATTGATGATAGGTACTTGGCACGGCTTGCATGGTATGCAGCCAAGTTCGTCCCACGATGAGATTATACGGCGAAGGCAGCTTGACGACCAAGAACTCCACATCCGCTGTTCGGGAGCCCACTTGAACCGGTAGTGTGATTTTGCTCAACGGGTATTCTGGATTAGCGTTAAAGCCGAATGGATAAGGAGCTGGAGACAGGTCCGACTCGGTGAACCCGAGTTTGATGAAGGTCTTGTAATACATAACTTCCGAAGTACTCCCCTGGTCTATGAGAACGCGTTCAACGGTGAATCGATTTACGCGTAGTTCGATAACCAATGGATCTATGTGGGGGAGTGTTACGTCGATCAAATCAGAATCGTCGAAGGTAATACTCGGAGCTTCATGGGGCCGTTATGCTGGTGTGATTTGCTTTTAGGGGTCAGGATGCGACTGAATTGTATGTACTGCAGATGAAGTCGGCAGGCTGTATATCATATGGATTACGCCGAGTGGAGGTGAATCGTGTCATAAAGCTACAATTTTGGTTGAGTTGTCTTTTCGGACGTACTGCTTAAGCCGACCATCTTGTACCAATTCCTCAAGGTGATCCTTCAATGCATAACAACTATCGGTATCATGGCCGTGGTCTTTGTGATACTCGAACTACCTATCTCGTCTCCTCGTGTCGGGAGGTCCCACCATTTTGGATGGCCATTTGAAGAATAGAAGGTGTTGGACTTTAGACATAACCGTGCTAATCGGCTCCGACAACTCCATATATTTCTTGTCCACGCGCCTTGTGCGCCTGCTATCTACTTGAAGTTGTTCATTAGCTCGGTGGGAACATTGGTCGTTTGATCGGCGCGAATCCCGTCTCCTGTCTTATTGGCTGAACAATCTCAGAAGGGGCCGTCTTGTTGGCCTTGTTCCCGGCTTTAACCCGCAGAGCGTCATCTTCCATTTTGCAGTATTCCTCGACTTTCTTCATCAACGACCAGACTGTTTTGGGAGGCCTTCTAGTCAAGGAACTGCAGAGGGCACTATCAGGATGCAACCCCATTTTAAAGGCAGTGATGGCCATGGATTCGTTGCAGGCGTCACCCACAAGATTAAAGCATTCCCAATAGCGCCGAATACGCTCGTAAGGTTTCCCTTGGTTGGATCTGTATTACCTAGAAAGAGTCGGCTTGCTTCGACTGGACCTCATTGGTGATGAATCTTGCCCTGAAGGATTTCTATAATTGATGGAAGCTCTTAATCGACGTTGGTTCCAACTTATAATACCATTTGACAGCCAATGGTCCCAAACTGCTCGGAAATATTCGGCACATGAGAGCCTTGTCGTCTGCATGCAGTGTCATAGCTTGCTTATAATGACAGATGTAGTTAGTGGGATCCGATTTTTCGTCGTATAGGGTGAACGATGGAGCGTTGAACTTTTTGGGTAGTACTGCCCTTGCGATCCGTCGCACAAAAGGGTCATGTTGGTCCTCTTCGTCTGAATCATTTCTTCTTCTCTTATTCCGTGCACATGGACTTCCCTCAAAAGCACTGGAGACTTCGACTCGCCCCTTCTTTTTGGGGTCTGGGGATAAGGAGTCAGAATCATTGTCATTATCTTGTCTCCGAGCTCGAGGTCGTCGAACATCCTTTCTCAGAGGTTGTGCTAGGTCTTGGCGCGCGACCTATTGGGATTTTGCCACCTCCAAGGCCAAATCCTGTCGAAGGCGCTCGTTTTCAGCTATCATGTTCTCTAACCTCTGTTTGTTTTGCTTCGCCTGATCCATAATCGCCTGCATTGTTTCATCAGCTGAGTCGAAGCTCAAGGCTCTTCTTGCAGTAATGTTTTCTGGTCCCAGCATGGTGCTTGGAGTTATATTAACTCGTGGCGTAAGGTTGTCAGTGACTGCTGAAGGATCTTCCGTCACGCTCGCCATGGATGTGCTGGAGTATTCCCACAGAAGGCGCCAATTGTGGGGAAGTGGTTTGGAAATACTCTTTGGATCCAATGGGACCCTCAAGATCCTCAGCTAGAAACCTGAAAAGGAATGAACACTCCGGTCGGGGATACCGGAATTAGCACTCCAATGGATAAGTCAGTGTATACTCTCTCGATTGCTTGTATCTTAAGTTAAGCATACCAGTTCTCACGTACCTCTCTTTGGTTGATGTTCTTCTATTTATATCTTTTCTTAGACCTCAGGGTCGGGCCCACCTTTAATCTACCGTGTAACTATTTACTCGGCTCCTTTTGTTGCAAACCACTCTTCACTCAGCTCCTCGCTCAATTGGTTATTTAGCCGATTAGGATACTTTTGAATTTGTATAAGACTGGGCCGAATACAATGTACATATCTCGATTTTCTAAGTTCACTTATTCGACCTCTTTGCATCCCCTAATACTCGGCCCCCACAAGTTTTTATTGCTTTTTAGTTTATTTGTGTTAGTTTGTATTAAAATATGATTTGAAAAATATGAGTAATCAAATGATATACTTTAAAAATATTTTTCTAATGATAAATTTATCATTAAAAGTTTAAGTGTGAGTCATTGGTAAATAAGGATGGTCTATAAAAATGATAATCGAGTCAGTGGTGCACGCATTGTAACTTGGATCCTCACAGATAATATAATAATTATGACACCATTTTTTTCTTTGACCACAATGTATACACTTTATTAGGAGAGAAAAAAAATTCAAGACGCTCCTCGCCTCTCACCTACAACTTCCAATATATTAAAAAATAAAAATATAATAATCATACCAACTGCTTATAAGTAAGGGCATCTCGAATGCAACTACTAAAAGGGTAGCCAAAGCAAAATTTTGATGGAGATCTAAATATTAACAAAAATATTAAAAATTTTATTAAAAATTCTATCAAATGTCTCACATGCATGTGAGACCCACATGTGACCTATATTGTATGGGTCTCACACCCATATAAAATATTTGTTAGAAACTTTTGTAAAATTTTTAAATTATCTAACATTAGTCAAATTTTAACTCCCCAATGTATCACAAGGTCTAGTCATTGTGAAATTTAGCATAGTTTGGAGTGAAGAAAAGCCCTATACTTCTTTGTTCCGTAAGATTGATAGTAGTCCAACAGCACAATATGTAAATAAAAAGTGGACTCTGTGCTATTGATTTATCTTCAATTGGCTTTTAACCTTTTTTCTCTATAATAAATTCAAGATGAAAAAATTTTATTTTCAGAGTAACTATGATTAATTTGAAAATTCTAATCCACTACAAATTTGAGAATATGAAAGCCCAACATGGTCAATCCAAAATCATCATGCATACATATATTAGAGGACAATATTTATATACATGTTTGTACACATTGAATTATATATGTTATTTTTATTTCGCCACCGCTATTAACCCTATCATTCATGGGTGCTCTCTAATACACCCAAATACCCACTTAATTTCACATGTATAAAAAATTTTACGTGGATCATATTTATTCTAAGTTTAACTTATTTTTGCATTGCGTTTTAAACTCTAAGCTTTTTACACACCAACTATTCATAAGGGGAATTTTTTATTTTTATTTTTATTTTTATTTTTTTATTTTTAATTTTCACCCCTACTTTGTAGGTATGAAATTTTGGTTTCATTAGCAGAGCACCCACCATTCACATGTGTCCTAACCAACCAAATGCCATGAGCTTCTTGGACCACGTGTCAACATCTGGTGCTACGCGATGCACTGATTGAGAATGTAATGATCCAAAAATTCTTTAATCTTAATCAAATCCTAAATCATGTGGGTCTGCATCAAAACGGTTTCGGAAGGTACATAAACATATCCTGCAACGGCGACATCTGATTATTCTCCAATTGAGAAGCGAATGTACTGTCTATGGTGGCATCCAAGTAATTAAAGGAGAATTCGAGGGTGTTTTTTTCCCAATCGGTTAGCCTCGTTGGCTCGCTCTGGACCTCCAAGTCAGGTGACATCACGTGGTCCGAGGAACTCGAGTATGTGTGCAACCTCGGGATCGAATCTGATGTGTCGCGGTACACTGACTCATTGAACAACCCAAACGGTGTCGGAGGAGACAACCGCATGACGCTGTGGGTTAGAATCTCTGGTTTTTGTTCAAAATTTTCCAAAGACTCCCTGGTTTTCGTGCCGACGACGACGTTTAGCTTCTCGATGGTGCCTTTCTTGTTGTATATGCGACACAAGACCCAATCGTCCAACTGTAAAATCATAATCAATAAATCAATCAAATACATTTCAAATCAAATCACAATCATCAATCTGAGAGCCATGACACACCCATTATGCTCGGCTTCGGAAACCAAAATAAAAAAATCACGTTTTTGTCAAAAGGTTCAAAAACGCAACAAAATTGATTTGGTAAGTTATAAAAACGCAAGCGTAAAATTACAAATTGAAACTTATGACAAAAAAATAAAAAAATAAAAAAATAAATTTCTTATGCTAGATAAGGATATTTTGGTTACTTTAATTTGATTCGACACCATAAACAAATATTAAACTAAAAAGTCAAAAATTAATTTTTTACCAACTTTCAAAATCACTTTTCAAAAAGTTAAAAAGTTTGGTAAAAAATCAAAAGCCAAAAGTCAACTTTTTACTAACTTTCCAAAACACCCCTATGTATTAATTATATATTAATTAAAAATTTTAGAATAAATTATCAATACATATATAAAATTGTCTTAAAATATATATTATTCATCGTGATTTGAAAAAATAAAATTAATAATTATTCTCTTATACAATAATAAAATTACTTAAATTAATAATTGAAACATATTTATAATATCATTAAAAACTGTTAATTGACTTGATAACTTATTAATAAAAAGGACGATTTGTTATGAAATTGAAAACCTCGGGGGCTGGAATATAAATTTCAAAATCACAAGACAATCTGTATTTTAATCAAATCTCAGAAGTGTATTTATAATTTACCTAAAAATTTATAATTTTAATTATTAAAATTTATAATATTTCTTATTTTTTGAAATTATTTTTTCTGACTTACATCTGTAGGTTATTTTCCCATATTTTAAATCACGACCACACTATGATTCACTATTTCAAGGGAAAATTGAATTTCAATAGAGCAATTTCGTGATCGTGCAGCTTTATTGTGTGCACGATATAAATGCATTCTTGTGCTGGGTGTCACTCTTATTGTATGTTAGAATTACACCAAAAATAGTTCCATTTATAATGCAATTTTTTTCCCACTACTTCATGTATTTACAATTTCCCGTATAATAATTATATATTTAACTATCAATCTTGCTTTTAATATTATGTTAATGGTGATTTTGGTTGAACATACACCAAAAAAAATTCTAAATTGTGAAATTTGAAGAAAGAAAAAGAATCTAACTATTAATTAGTAATAAGTTAAATTGAATAAAAAAATTATACTGATAGTTAAAGGAAATAGAAAGTAAATTGTCTAATTAATTAGAACAATCATAAGTATGATGTGTACTAGCTCTTCTTCTTGAATTATTTAAAGGATATGATGTCTGTGAGTTTAAGTAGGCCCCATCATTTCAACACCATAATTTTTTCTCAATCAAAGTACTTGTTTAAACAAGAGGCAATCGTCCATTGTCAAGTGATCGATTGATGATCTCATTAGTCCATTGAGAATGATGTTCCGTATGCTAATAATAATTTTTTTTTTAATTTTTAAAAACCAACATTTTTCACAAGGTAAAAGGACTGATTTGTCTCTTATCATATACATACATTTTGAACACTTAGGCCTCGTTTGACAACCTTCATTTTTAGTCAAAAAGTCAAAAAGTTACTAATAAGTTAGTAAAAAAGCCAACAACTCATACCAAAAAGTCAAAGATTATATTTTCTCTCTACTTTTTACACATCTTTTCGTAAAAAGTCAAAAAGTCATCCTAAACATACTAGTTTTTTTTAGCTCATATTTTAACCAAATAATTAAAAAATTACTAAATTAGCCTGTTCCCAAACGAGACCTTATAGTCAAAATAGGCAATTAAATCCTCAATGAAGGTAGTTTATGGGTTGTTTTTAACCATTGCCTTTTTAAAATAATTTTTTGACTTTTTATATAAAAAAAAATATGTGTAATAAATAAATAAAGAGAATAGGTTAGGATCTGTTTGGTTTAATTTAAAAATTATGATTTAGATGTGGGGTTGTATTTTGACTTAGCGAATAGTTTAGGGTTCGTTTAGTTTAGTTTTAGAATTATGATTTAAATGTAGAGTTGTATTTTGAGTTTTAAAGTTTTTGAATCATGATTTAAAAAGATAAAATTTATTTGGTTATGAGTTTTGCAAATAGTTTTGTGATAATTTGTAATTTTTTTTGATTAATTGATATATGGAATGTGAAAGAACATGAAAAGAGAGAGAAGAGATGAGAAAAAAAAATGATCGATTAATTGATTGAATAATAATAATAAAAAGAAAGAAGAGAGGGGCTTTGAAAATAATTTTGGGTTCTATTTTAAAACTATGTTTGATTAACATGTTTCATCTAAATCATGATGTAAACCTAGAGTTGAGTTTTGAAAATGTTACCTTATTTTTTTTACAGTGATTTCTTAAATTTTTAACCAAAACTTAATTTATCAAAATAGATCTAAACACAGGTGAAATATAATATATTTTCAACAATGTTAGGAACCAAAACAATTAGTAACTGTTTTACATAACGACAATGCTACGTACTTCAAATTTTATGGCTCAAAAGTGGCTCAAATGACCAAAAACGACGTCGTTTTGAGTACAGAACAACATAAAAATGGCCAGAACGACGTCATTTTGGCCATTTGAGCCACTTTTGAGCTACAAAATTTGAGGTACGAGATATTTTCCTTTACCTAATTCTCCATACCAGATAAAGCCCAACGTAGAACCCACACTGCTCATGTGAATATTACGTAAAATATTTAATAATTTATTTAAAATTTCTAATATTTATGATATTTTTTTTTCACACCCAATTCTTATCAAAATCATGAGTGTTGAAATAAATTTTACGAGTAATAGATCTCGAGTCTTAGGCCTGTTTTGATAATTAAATTAAAAACTAATTTTTAAATTTTTTTTAAATCATATCACAAATTTATTTTTTGTACACGTTTTTTAGAAGAATAAAAAAAAATTAAAAAGCTTACTTTTGCAAATAAGTTGTCCATTTTACTCTCTCAAACAAACGATAAAAAAGTCATTGGGTTGAATTTTATGTACCCTGAGGCTGCTATTTTTCTTGCGGGCAGACCGGTCCACATCGGCTAGCCTATACTCGTGCATGATCCAATTAGTTTTCTCTCCCTTGGGAGCTTTTCCGGCGTAAAACACCAGAGCCTTCTTAATTCCGACCGCCCTCGGTTTCCCTATCGGCTTATCGGCTCCGGTTGCCTTCCAGTACCCGCTGCCCGCTGACCTGTTCGGCCTCGAACCGTTCGGGTACTTCCGGTCCCTAGGTGAAAAAAAATACCACTCTTTCTCTCCATACAAGGCCAATCCTGTTAATTCACAAAATACTCAATAAATAAATAAAATCCAAATTAAATTAAAAAAAAATTGTTAAATTATTCGACATGATTTTTAAAAACATACTTTTTATCTTTTTTAATAAAAATTAAAAAATATATTCATTTAGATTATATTAAACACTCTCTAAAGAATTTATATAAAAAAAATGAAGAAGAAAATAAATTACCGGGAAGTTCCCATGGGTCGTACTTGTAGAGATCAATCTCGGCAATGATGGGGACTGCGATCGGGTGTAACGCACATTTACGGCACAGGTAGTGCATCACGAGCTCCTCGTCCGTTGGATGGAATCTGAAACCAGCCGGCAATTGCAAGTCTGATGACATTTTTTTTTTCTCCCCCTCTCTCTCTACAATTTTCTCTCTCTGGGTTTCTGAAATGAGGAGGAAGATCGGGCTGGGAAAATTGGAACTTAAGACGCAAGGGAGAGAGAGGAATATATAGAATAGAGACAGTGTTGGGGACAGGTGTCGGAAGGAGAGAGAAAGGGAAGGGAATAGAGCATAAGTGGTGTAAAAAACGTAGCTTCGTGCGAAGTAACAAAAAAAAATTAAAAAAAAAAAAAAGAAAAAAAAGAAAAAGGATGAAGCATGCGATTCAGTCACTGCATGCGTTATCTGTTTTGGACTCACTCTCCACGAGCCGTCTCCTCCATTAACCGCTCCTACTACCTCACCTCATTTATGATTGTAAACCTCATGATGGTCTGGTTATTTTTATTTTTAATTTTTTTTTTACAATTATGTATATATGTGAATTGTAATTTTTAAATATTTTTTTTATATTATATTAAAGTTTATTATTTTGATAATAATAATATGTGTTGGACTTTTCAAAGAATTAAATATTTTTTTTATTATTATATTATATTAAAGTTTAATATTTGGATAATAATCATATGTGTTAGACCTGGATTTCAAGAAATTTTTTATATACTTAGTCTAATACATTAAAGTGTTATTATGATGGATAATAATCATATTGTTGGGAACTTTTCAAGAATTCATATGGTGTTGGATTCAAGAGAATTTTTTTTAACTTGTTCTTAATCATTAAAGTGTTTATTATGAGGGTAGACTTGAACGTCTGGGAGAAGTTAATAAATTGTTAAGATTTTTTTTTTAAATCAACAAAATCAAGAAATTTAGATTAACGAATATTGGAGCTCCACAAGATTTAGGTTAAAAGACCTCATTTTACTTAATAATAGTATAGATTTTGGCAGTAAGTTAGTAATCTTAAAATTTATCTCGAGATTGGTCCAATAGTTTATTTAATTTGACAAAATACTCTGGCGTTATATATAATATATATATATAATATTTAAAAATAAAAAGGTATTCTGAAATTAAATAAGCTCTCATATACAGAAGTTTTAAGACTGTCGTTTGAAAATAAATTAATTTTAGGTAATTTTTGATTTTTTATGAAACATAACAGAAAAAAGGAAAGAGTGACTTGTGATAACTTATAGTGACTTTTGACTAAAAATGTGTAGTTGTTAACGAGACTTACACTACAGGGAAATTCCACTTTGGCGACCAAAATATTGGTCTGCCATAAAAGCCCAATTGGTCCCGAACAATTAGCGACTAAAAATATTTTGATCGCCAAACCTAGTCGCTTAGACACTAGTGGCGCGATAGACTTGCGACTAAACTATTATTGGTCGCTGACAAGTGAATAGTTCTGCTACTAAACTCTGGTTTAGTCGGCAAAGTGTTATCTTTTGGCCGACGTAAAATATGTAGTCCGCCAGAAAGTGAACATCGGTCTACCAAACTCTGAGTAGTCGTGAAAAGGGTATGTTTTGGTCGACTAAATATTTAAGTCGCCAAAAGTGTGAAATAAATAAATTAAATTTTCAGCGACTAAAATTTTTGTCGGGAATAAGTTTAGTGACAACATTTACTTAACATTTAGGACAAAAGAATTTAGTTCGTCCAAGAAATATTAAATCTTTTATTTTATTAAACTTTGTGCTGACTAACACATATTAGTCACTAAAAGTTCTACCACTTAGGCGTGGTTGACTTTGGCCGACTAAAACTGATTCCGTAGCCAAAACCTATTAAGATTCTTTCTTTATTTTTGCACCACAAAAGGTTTTAGTCGCAAATTGATACCGATTTTTTCCGTGACTAAAAAATTTAGTACCAAGAGTTTATTTCTCTCAATTCTCAAATTTTTAGCTTACTAATTATTTGGTGGCAAAACGCAGTTATTGGAGTATGTTTTTGCTAAACTAATTATTAGTAGCCAAAACTTTTGATTACCTATTTGGCTACCAAAACATTTGGTGGCCAAATAATTTTCTATTTTTTTTTTTAAAAAAAAAAAAATTTGTAAACCTGTATTCATTTATGTTACATGTACCGCTGTATAAACAATATAATCCCATCAACACTAAATATTACTACTTCAACCATTAAGCATTCAAATAATACATGAATAACCATGATTTATCCATACATAATACATGAATAACCAGACGTCAATAATTAAACTACAACTGTACCCTGTAATAACAATATAATCCATCAATCCCTAAAATATATTAGGTCAATAATGCACATACATAATCATACATACAAATTTCATACACTCCAAGTCTAATCCAACGTCAATAATTAATATCCATAACATAATCATATGAACAAAAATTAATTTGTTCGAACACCAGCATATTACAAATAGAGGTATAAAAACCAATGCCCTCCGTAATTGTCAAAAAATTATATCCACATTTGACGTCCAAAATCATCTGAAAAAAAAATAAAATTCATTTAGTTGGTGCCTATAAAATGTTAAGAAAGGCTTAAAGATTTCCCTGTTAATGACATAGATATTCTTACATATAACACTTCATGTTGAGATATCAGTTCACAAATTAATCCTACATTTTAGTTAAAATAAAGGAGAGAGAACAACTTAATTAAAATTAAATGTCTCAGAGAAACAATAGAAAAAATAATGATATTCACACAACACTTTTAGAAAAGGGCCACCAATATGTGACCACTCTCAAATGTCTACCAACTTCCTTTATTAAATATCAAATATAGGATTATTATGGCAGAATGATCTATAACACCGAGAAAGCTTCAAATCTTACATAACTAAACAATAATCTGCCCCTCTCATCAAATCAAGAGCAAAAGGATTAATTACTTATGACAAATAGATTTACGTGAGCCTTCTAAAAACATATCATTACCTTCCCACTTCTGAACTTCAAGCACTTAAAGCAAACCAGGCTCAACAACCGCTTCAGTTCGCTCACATGGGAAGGATGATATTACTGGATTGGTAATTCTATATACCAAAGTGACCTGAAAGGTAAAAAAATGGAACAAAACTTTAGCAATACTTCAATGTGTCCAGCGGTCATGACATTCAAACTTCTCAGTGTAATCAGAAAATAAAAAGGATTAAAACATGAAGAGATAGATTCGCACAACATTAAAACATTAAAACATGACCATTGCATTCACAGTAGCCATGTTTCTCAACCCACACAGTACAATTGAGCGAAGTCAAGCTAGTGAAGCACAAGTGAGTGGAAGTCAAGCTAGTGAAAAATAAATCAATAAAGATGTCATTCTCCATCTACTTCCATTCATAGGGATAAATATGCACCTCACATGGCCATTTTTTCAGCCCCCTAGCTTACATGTGATAGGATTAGGATTTGAACTAATACTACTAAGGGAAAATTACATATCAGTGGAAAGTTTACAAATATTAACATATCAGTCAAATTCACTTTACAGCCCATATATAACAACGTAACAGGTGAGACTGCAGTTTGAATTTTTTTAAGGATTGGATTTGGGATGGCAAATTAATCCCAATACCAGATCGGCCAAACCTGAGTGCATATATTTCCTTGTTATCCTTAATCATCATTAGGTAATTACACATTTTGATTTCAAATTTCCTTTTAACATGAATCCCAACCCTTCATTTTATGGCTCCCAAGAAAAAATGACCATTAAAACATTATAAATAAAACATTAAAACATGACCATTCTTCTTTTTCTTCTTCTTTCCTGACAAAGTAAAAAATTAATTCTTGTAAGAAAAACGATGACATACTCCAATGCATAAGGACAACTTGGTTCTCTCCATAATGACATCTACCAATGAGTCTACCCTGCACAACAATAGGTAAAACCAAAAGCTAAAAGTGGACAAAAAATCTAAGCAGCACAAACACTCATTAATGAAGTGGTCCCAAGCAACTGCCAATTCATTATCAACATCTGCTGCATCATGTTTACCTAAGTAACAAGGAATAATATACAATATACAAATAGAAAAAGTACAGAGTGGAAAGAATTGATTTTGATTTACTAATGGACATGTAGGCAGCTCCACTAAGATCCACACTTGCACAAATTTTAATTCAGTGACAGTGTTATCGGTAACCAATAATGCATCAATCACCAAGTGTAGAGCCTAATAAAGTATGAACAGGATACATGCACAGCTCAGACTTCATAGTCCTCCTTAGAAGCCCAAAGTTTGCTCTCTGACATAATTTCACTGTAGGACTGGAATACATGCTTCTAATATTTTTTCTTCTACAAATAATATTAGATAAAACTCTCCAACAATAATCAATTTCGTCAAAAAAAATTAATGAGCAACATTTAAATATGTCTACATGAAATAACAGTCTCATCACTAAAAAATGTAAAGCAGCTTGCCATGCATCAACATAATCATCAAAAGCACCAACCCAACACCCTACACTAATTGATGAACTCAAAATGGAAGAACTATACTGTTATCTCACAAGCAATTATCAATTGTGGAAGGCTGCCTCAAGAGTTCTTCTGCCTGCACAAATTCAGCATCCAAAGTGCTGCTGCTGGTACTTGTGGAATGCAAGCTTGCACAGTATCACCTGACTGAGTAATTGCCATTAAATTCTTGTTTGGATTCTGCAATAACTCAAGACAAGACAAATCCAAATTAACATTTCTTCCCTGCTGTTGGCAACAGGATTATCCATAACTAGAACTACAGAACTTCATTAAGAAAAACTTCATTCTTTCACATTTCTCAGAAGAAAGAAATACATTTGGATTTCTACCAGGCAGATATTAGAGAATGATAATTGTTAGTTTCAGTACATGGTAGCCTCAATTAAATGACAAAAGACAACCTAGTAAAGACAGGAACAATTTATATTACCCAAATTTCATACTTTTGAGTAAAAGAGCAGCAACATTTTAGTCCATATCTAATATCTTTACAAACTGCATGTAACTAAAAATTTAAAGGCTTATATCTTCAAATGTGTAAATATTTGAATTTATTCTAAGGGATCCACACCGATGGAAGTGATGAGTGATGTAGTGTTCTAATTGAAAGCAACCAGATTAACAATATGACGGTTAAGAATGAG